GTTGGTGTGTATAAGAGATCCCTGGCTGGTACAAATAATTAAGTTCTTATCTTCTAGTCAAAAGTTTGGCGGTTCAAACTACCCAAAGCTTCCTCAAAAGATAGGTCAGGAGATGTGCTTCTGAAAACTCAGAGCCTTCAAAAGCCTACCCAGCAGTTCTACTGTCCACACGTGTGGCTGCCATGAGCAGGAATCAACACTATATACTGTCCACACGTGTGGCTGCCATGAGCGGGAATCAACACTATAGTATCTCACAATAACAATGTGTGTACAACTCTTTATGTCTTTGATTTTCTTGTAGAACATTGATTCATAGTTCTGTTTGGGTTGATGACTTTTTTGAAAATAAGATGAAAGCTATGATGTCTTCTCCCAGAAAAGTGCACATGGGAGCACAGATACACACAAAACTTCGCCTATGGTGTGGCACTGTGGGTTAATGCGCCAGACTGCAAAGTCGATTGAACTGCAAGGCTGGCAGTTCAAGTTCACTAGCTGCTCCTCGGAAACCCTATACAGGGTCGTTATGGGTCGGAACCGACTTGACGGCACTTCACAACAACAACAATGGACCCCCAAGTCTACCTTGATCCTGTGGGGACTCCCCGTGGTCTAAAGAACCCTGAGCTATGCTAAACTGGTCTCTAAAAAGAATACACAGTACCAGAAAGAGCAACTGAGATTTCTTCTAAAATAGCACAGTGACTGCCACTTTCCAATTTGCAGGAGAAAGGAAAAGGAGAGATAGGATTTGATCAATTTCAAGTTTTTTCTCCAGTAATTTTCTGAAACCTTTGGCACCTGCTCCCGCTTGTCTGCTAGTGCCTTCTCACAGATGGCAAAGTGAATGAATGAGCAGAAAATGAATATGAACAGAAGAACTTGGAAATGTGATTTCATAAAATTATTTTATGCATGTGGAGTGTGTGAGGGATGAGGAGACCTGCATACATAAAAGGCAGCTACAGTGTCTGCTCTGCAAACACTCCCCACGGCCTGTTTCTGAAGAAATAGGATCACTGCATGCACTGCATGTGGACTCTTGGGGTGGCGCTGGACGATCAGCACTGGACTGTGGATCACAATGTCGGCAGTTCAAACCTACCAGCTGCTCCTTGGAAACCCTATAACAGGGTCGCTGTGAGTCGAAACCAACTCTAAAGCACTTAACAGCAACATGCACTGCATCTAGGAAATGCATGTGTGATGCTCTCCAGCTGCCACTGGGCCCCAAGTACACATCGCTACTGACATTTCATTAATTTCTCAGTGGGCCTGGAATGGTGGTTTTTGACTGAAAAACAAAACCCCTGCTAATGGCTTTGGGATGTGGGATCCAGACACTTTGCTCCCTTGAAACTGCTCTCTCCACCACGCCTTAGAAGAAAGTGTCTCATTTGGCTAACTTATCACAGTTAGGGTCCATATCTCTTTAGTAGAATTCATACTTTTGTGGCTTCTTTTCAAGCAGAATTATATCCAAGTTAAAATAGACCCAATTCAAAATGATTAGCGGGCACCAGAGCATACCCAGCTTAGTCTTGAAGGAGGAGGGGACAAGAATCATAAGACTGGGTTTTCTGTCCCAATTCTATCATTCCACGAATGTGTTTTGTATGCCCATTATGCACCAGGCTTTGTGTGAGACACTGGGAGTTTCCAGGGGTTTACAGTCTGCTTGGGGAGAAGTGGGGAACAGACATACACAAACACACACAAACAGTACCAGGGTCTACCTACGTATAGGTATTGATGAAGACTTGAGAGATAAGAAGAGGTTGTTACGCAGGAAGTTTACAGGGGAAATGCAAGAACAAAGGCTGACAGCAGATGAGAACTTGAATGATTTAGAGAATAGCAGATAGCTGATAGATAGGATGGGCATCTTCTCCATTGTGCTGGGGACCAGCCTGTTGAGAGTCCAGGCACAGGTGCTTGGCCTCTACTCACCTATTGAGACTAGGACATGCAGAGGACAAAATCCAGTCTTTGAAGTCTAACAACCCTATCCAAATCCCAGCTCTACCAACTGCATGACCTTGAACAAGTTCTAGAACTTCCCTGAGGCTGAGTTTTCTCCTGAGAAGTGAGGATGGTACTTGTTACTTCTTCAGAATATTTTGAGGACAGTGAGATAAACGAGGGAAATTACCTGTGTGGTGACCAGCACGTGGTAGGGAAGAAATGACAAAGTAGTCTCAGCCTACCTGCCAATGCCATTGAGAGTGGCCACCACTGAAGTGTTGAAGGATTCCTGGCCACATTTCAACTCAGTGGGATAGAGTTGTGGTCAGTTTTGCAATGTCTATCATAGGTACAAGAAATGGTGGTACACATACCACTCTAGAGAAGACGTCCAGTAGGCGTTGTGTCCTTCCCCCAATGACTTGCACCCACCTAACTGGCCAGAGTCAAGCACACCAGCCATACCTGCTGAGGATATGGATCATGTAGTTGAGCACAGGGACCTCAGCCCAAGAAGAGCAATCAGCACTCGGGGTCCCCGCCTGCCCCCAAATATACTAACAGGTAGAGAAGGTGCAGCACTTGAGCAAACCAGTCACCACCACCACCACCACCACCACCACCCCGGGACATCCCATTCCCCTTGTTGTTCTTGTTGGTTGCTGACTATTAGTTCTGAGTCATGGCATCCCTGGGTGTGCAAAGTAGAAGTGCTCCATATGTCTTTCGAAGCTGTGACCTTTTTGAAGCAAATTCCCAGCCCTTTCTTCCAATACCTCTGGGTAGGTTTGAACTGCCGAACCATTTATGGCACCCAGGGATGACTCATTCCTATCCTTCTTGTTGTTGTTAAATGCCATCGAGTTGGTTCTCACATATAGCGACCCTGCATAGGGTTTCCAAGGAGAAGCTGGTAAAAACTGCCGACCTCATGGTTCAAACCGACCTTGTGGTCCATTGCATATCCTACAGTGCCACACCAGGACTCCGCTCCTCCTCTCAGTATAAAGGAGATAGAAAAGCCCATTTCAAATGAACCCCTTGGAGCCAAATTGGTCGAAGAATGAGGTGAGATTTGCCTAACATGATAAAAACTCAGTTAATTCTTCTCATTTTACACAGAAATCTCTGCCCATTTATCCAAACCATTTGTCTTCTCCTTCTACTACCTTTCCCACATTCTCCACTCTCTCCTTCTTCCTCGGATAATACCTGCATCACAGTGATTGTTTTAGAGTATAAGTACATGGCACATGATACACACACAATGTTTACCTAGTATTTATTTTTTTATTTAAATTCAATAATTAAGAGAGATCAGGACCTCCCTCTGGTAGCGTAGTGGTTACGAATCGGGCTGCGAACCACAAGGTCAGCCGTTCGAAACTACAAGCCTCTCCACGGGAGAAAGATGAGATTTTCTGCTCCCGTAAAGATTTACAGCCTTGAAAACCCTGTACAGGGTCGCTATGGGTCAGAACTGACTCGATGGCACTTAACAACAACAACAACAACGAGGACCTCCCTACCTATGACTTACTAATCATAAATCCATTAGGCATTGATTAACCATCCTTTCCAGCAAGGAGCTGGTCCTTCACCACTACCTACTTGGATGAGGGTCAGCTCTCAAGTTGGTCATCACCTTGACTTGAAGCCAAGAGTTCCACTGGATAGTTAAGCAATAAGCCAGGGTGGGACACAAGGTAGAGCCAGACCAGAAGTGTAAGGAAATTAGTCTTGTTCCCCAATTATGGGCGCTAAGTCACCGCTCTGGTGCTTGCTGTCCCAGAGTCATTCAGAAAGGGCAGGTCTTGCTGGAAGTTACCATCATAGCCCCCCCCCCAACCCACCCACAGACACACATAGACACACACACTTCTTAGAGCTCACCAGCAAAGACCCAGTCCATAGTTCAGTAGTGGCAGGGCCCTCTCTGAAGTCTTTCCACAAGAAACTCCAATCTGAACTGGGGGTTCTGCTTTTTCACACATTCCCGTTACCTTGGCTACTCTTGCTACCATATCCCTTGTGGTCCTGAGGACTTTGCCTACCTTCAGACACAGTTGTCCCAGGAGAACTGAGAAACTGTGCAAGTTCCAGATTAAGGAGGAAGAGCGCCATCTTCTTCTGAGCTTCCTGCATATTGAGGAAAGCAGAAAACTACAACCATCTGTGCTGTTTGTTTCCCCAACAGCCACCAGAGTCTCCCATTCCATCTTCCAGCCTCAACACTGGCTTCCTTACCCAGCATGGGCCGGCTTCACTGTTGTTGCACTTAAACCTCCCTCAGCTAGAGGGCGCTAGAGAGCTCTATGAAAGAGCTCCTGGTAGCAATCTTTAATCATGGTGCACTACCATATGGTAACAATAGTATATGAACAGTCACCAGGTGGAGGGCCGAGTCAAGCAGACTCTAATGGGAGACACTAACATCCCTGCATCAGGAGCCTTAGAAAATAAGTGTTGTAAGGACAGCCCCCAAGCAAACCAGCAGCATGGGACTTCAGACCCAAGGAGAATTGTCAGATAGAATACAGAACACCCAGTTAAAATGTGAATTTTATATACACAACTCATCTAATTTTAGTATACATCTCATGCAATATGTGGGACACCCTTTATTAAAAATTATTTGTTGTGTATCTGAAATTTAAATTTATCTGAGCATTTGGTTTTCGTTCTCATTGTTGTTTTGCTTTTGGATTATGTGTTTTTCTAAATCTAGTAACCCGAATCCCAAGTAAAGGATCTGGGAAATCTGCCAGGTGTGAGCAAGGGAGGCACTGAGCCCCAGATGACGAGGGGTCGAGGCAACCTTCCATAGTGAGTTTTTTGGAGTCCACCTGAAGCCCATCCCAGGTAAACAGAGGAAGAAACACTGAGCTGGCTCCAGCTCTCTACCTGGAAGTCCAGTGGACACTTAGGACTCCATTTATCTTAAACTACACTTTATTAGCTGGCTTGTCTCCCCAAGCCTGGGTCATAAACCAAAGTCTGCCGTGTCTGGCCTGGTTCTTCCAGCAAGGATCCTACAAGTCACAGCCATCCACCCAGTCATTGAGGTTCTTGCCCTGGCAGTGATGCCTCCAGGCCTCCCTGCAGATGGAGAAGAAGGAAAGGAGAGAGGGCACGTTGCCTCAGCCTTCAGTCATTCCTCAGAGCAGAGCATAAAGGGGCTGGGGCTCTAAACTAAAAGTAAGGTCAGGGAGCAGGCAAGGGAAGAGGAACTCACAAACTGGATTAACTAACAAGGAATTCCTTGGAAGTAAAGAAAATAGAAGAGAATGCCCTTAGTGATAGTGGTTGTGTGTCATCGAGTCAGTTCCAACTCAAAGTGACCCTGTATAGGGTTTCCAAGGTTGTAAATCTTTACTAGAGCAGAAAGCCTCATTTTTCTCCCACAGAATGGCTGGTAGATTTGAACTGCTGACCTTTTGGTTTGTAGCCCAGCTCCTAATCCACTAAGCTACCAGAGCAATGTTTGACCAAATATAGCAGGCTAATTTTTAAGTTGATAATTGGTATGGCCTTCAAATGATGTCATGAATTTTTAAAGGAAAATGTTCCCCAGCCCTGCTGTAGATGGTTTCTGAGGCTATCCATCTTTATGGGAGCAGAAAGCCCCATCTTTCTCCTGTGGAGCGGCTGGTAGATTCAAACTGCTGACCTTGTGGTTATCAGTACAATTCATAACCCACTATGCTACCAGGGGTCCTTGAGAATGCCCTAGGTGAGCATTTTTCTAGCCTCTATTTTCCTGGTATGGTAGGTGAGCATTGTTCTAGCCTCTATTTTCCTGGTATGGTGTTGTAGGATAAGCACTCGACCGCAAGGTTCGTTTGAACCTCAAGGTCAGTGGTTCAAATTCACCAGCAGTGCCTTGGAAACCCTGCCTAGACAGGGACACTGTAAGTTAGAACTGACTCAACAGTACTTAACAAACAACATTTTACCAGTGGAAACAGAGAGGTAATGTGTTCACCCACAAGGCAGTAGTAAAGACCGAGAGCATTGGAGTCTGTGCTCTTTTCTGATACTTGGCTGCTTCTGGGGACAATGATGCCACCTTGCATGTGTACAGCCCTTTGCAATTTAAATGACATTCTCTCATCCATCATCCTTTTAACATCCACCCCACCACCACAGCAGCCCTGAGAGATAGATTGGGCAAATACTATGCTCTCTATTTTCCAAATGAAAAGATGAAACTTTGATGAAAAATTACTTGTCCAAGATCCAGAGCTAGCAAATTGCAGAATTGTCCCCACAACCAATTTTCCTTGGCCACCACCAATCTAGGTCTTTGAATTGTTAACTTTAGAGCTCACAGGCTCTTTCAAGACCCTTACTGTTCCGGCTTCTCAGCTGACATCTTGAGGAAGATAAGGAAAGTCATGGGGTTCTAGGGTCCCAAGTTCTCAGGGGGTCCCATGCTCTGATATCTGGTGTCCTCTATGCTGTTATTTTAAAAGAGCACACGTTCCACACAGAGATGGCTCTAGATCTATTCTCCAAGAACAATTGATTGGCTTGTTATGCCTGTTCCACTAGACTCAAGATTCTTGTGGGCAAAGACTTAGGTCTCTGCCATCCCTGTAGCACTGCACGGAGCCTGGTGCATTCTCGGTGCCTGTATGTGCAACGAACAAAGCCCCTTTCCACTCTGGAGCCACTTCCTAGTTTCAGCCTCAGCTACCTCTCAGAGGTTATATATGCCATGAATGTACTCCCAATGTACAAAAGAGAGCTGTTGAAAACCACAAAAGTCAACTTAAAAGGCCCTATTGCTCACATCACAGGATGGGGTCTTCAAGCCCTTGGGTTAGTGCCTGAGCCTGCGTTCACCATTTCTGAGTTTATAGGTGTGCATGATGCACTGATGCGTCTGCCTCCTTCCAGGGTTAGTTTCTAGGGTTTCAACGGCTCTCAGACCAACGCATCTCCAAACCTGCAGCCATTTTCAGGGCCCATCTATGAACTTCCTCTAGCTTCATAGGGTCTATCTGTGGACCTTCTCTAGATTCATAGTCAGAGTCCCTCTGTGGACCTTCTCTGGAATTGTGACAATCCCTCTGCGGGCCTTCTCTAGAATCAGAGTCAGGAGCTAACTGCGGACCTTCTCTAGATTCATTGTCAAGGTCCCACTATGGACCTTCTCTAGAATCATAGTCAGGGTCCATCTGTGGGTCTTCTCTAGATTAATTGTGAGGGTCCATCTATGGCCATTCTTTAGAATCAGAGTCAGGATTCAACTGTAGACCTCCTCTAGAATCATAGTCAGGGTCCATCCATCTGTGGACCTTCTCTAGATTCAGTCATTTTCACCTGCCCCCTCTCCCTCCCTAGTTGTATCCTATCATCCTATCTGTCCCTATTGCTTCTTCACACACCCACCATCTCTTTCTCATATCCAACCCTATTCCTTCCTTCTAGCCAATCCATCACTAATCCATCACCAGTGCAACTACCCCAGTACAGTCCCTTAACTCTCACCTAGGCATCTGCAAGGACTTGAAGATGGCTCCCCCTACCTCAATCTCTCCTTCATCCATCTGCTTTTGGGTTAGTTGCCTTCACTACCTTCCTAGCTTTATCACATGTTATATCCATCCATGGTCCCTACTGATCCCTCACCCAGCACTCTGAATAAAAGGAAGATTGGGGACTCTTAAGTATTGAAACTCCCGCTCAAAGAGACTGAGAGCCATAAGGCAACTGCCTCAGAGGCACCTCTGTGAGCCAGTGATTTACTTCAAATCTCCTCCTGATGCTCATCTGTAACATGGGCAATCACAGCTCTGCAAAAAGAAAAGACTGAAACCATGCATGCTGAAGACCCTGCCCCTTCTCTGATATATTACAGATCTTGGACTTTGATATAAGATCTGGTTTGGACAAAGATTCCCACCCCTTTAAAAAGGTATACTAAGCCCTGGACTAGAGGACCATTAGGCAAGCAACACAGCAAAAGCAAATCTTTGAAGAGCCAGACTCTTGATCTCCCAGGCTGGACTCTAACACTTATGGCTACATGGCCACCAATTAATTGTTTATCTTCTTAAAACTCAGCATGTCATCTATAAATATTTCTGTACCAATAACATCTGTACCAAGAATTGTTGTGAGGATTAGATCTTGTCACTGTGGCATGGTCCCCGGCAGTGGGTACTTGGAAAATGTTAGCTCCCTGTTGCTGTCTACCAGTCCCAATCACATGACCTCAGAAGGAGTCCAGCCAAAGTGACTTACCAGGTGGCCAGGCCATGGGGCCCTTGGGCTATCTTCATGGCACAGATAACCGTATCCCTGAGGTTAGGCTTCAACAAGTCTGGGGAAGGAGACAGAGAAACACGATGAAGTGTTTCCTCAACGCAGGGAGTAGAGCTGGGTATCCAGTGTCCAGCTCATTTGCTCACGTTCACTTTGTCTTGCACGCACACACACATACACACACACACACACACTTCCTTCCTCCCTTCTCCTCCCTAAACCCAGGCCTGTCTCTTGACTACTCTGGAAGCACAGGTAACATTCTCCCCCTCTGTCAGAAGCAACGCCCCTCTATTCCTAAAGTTCTGAGGACAGCCTCCCCTCTGGGAACCCCAAATCAGTTTCATCATCCTTTGCCCCATTCCCATCTCCTCAGTAGGCGGATTGTGTGGGGAAGAAAACAAAAGTGGTGCATCACTTGCCTCGAGCCGGCCCAGGGTCCAAGTCCTGCTTACCAGTGCAGTACATGTGACACAGGTTAGGGGCCTTCAAATCAAAGTTGTTGCACCACTTCCGACTATTGATCTGAAAGATGCCATTATTGGCGCTTCCATCTGCCTCGTGGTCCACGGCAGCTGTGTTAAAGCCACTTGTGAAGTAAGCAAGGCAGACCCCTGAGTACAGCAGAGACACAAGGCTGTGGGTCAGACAGGCCAGGGAAGAGACAGCCAAGCCCAGCACATTCTCTCCTGCCTCAAGATGGTCAGGGCAGCCTCCCTCCTACCTGCTCTGCAGCTGGAAAGCACATGAGGCCTAGAGGAGGAAAGGAAGGTACCTAAAGCCACAGTGGTGGTTGTTAAATGCCGTCGAGTCGGTTCTGACTCATAGCAAACCTGTATAGAATTTCCAAGGAGTGGCTGGTGGGCTTGAACTGCCGGCCTTACAGTTATCAGTCTAGTGCTTATCCTAGAGTGCCACACCAGGACTCCTATAGCCACCAAATAGCAGGAGCCAGGACTCCCGGTGTCTCATTTTTCAGCACACACCAGCGCCAATAAATGCTTGTCGAATTGAATGAGCAGGAGCTAAATCATTAGACAGGAGACTAGGAAAACCAAGTGTGATCTCTGTAGGGGGCTGACACTTGAGAAAAGTTTAATTCAAATGTGAGTTACTATGTAATGCTATGCGATGGAATGAATGTAAAACTAGAGTTCTCTCATGTAAACTATCATATAATTCACAATAAAACATTGAAAAAAAAAAAGTGAGTTACTAGCCAGACGGCCTCCTGAACTGGCTAGTACTGGTTTGCTCAATGTGGTCTTTCTAAATTTCAGTTGTTGTTGTTGGCTGCTGTCCAGTTAGCCCTGACTCATGGTGACACTATACACAATGGAATGAACTAGTGCCTGATCCTGTACAATGAGAGCAGACTGCTGTAATCACAGGGTTTTCACTGGCTGATTTTCAGAATTAGATAGCCAGGTCTTTCTTCCTCATCTTAGTCTAGAAGCATTGCTGAAACCGCTTCAGCATCATAGCCACATGAAAGCCTCCACCGACAGATGGTTCACAGCTGCACAATGAAATGCATTGTCGAGGAAGGCAAAAATGTTACCATCACACCACGAAATTTCAGTTTTAAAAAAAGCATTGTTATTGAGTCTATATGGACCTGTTGTTGTTGTTAAGTACTGTTGAGTCAGTTCCAACCCATAATGACCCTGTATAGGATTTCCAAGGAGCAGCTGGTTAGTTTGAATCACTGACCTTGCAGTTCAAACAGACTGTAGTCCAGCACATTAACACAGAGTGCCACACCAGGACCCCCTATCGTGTCTAAATAGATCTTTGTGGTCATGTTTAAGGTTAGGGTGCTATGCTGTGCTTCTCCCTCAACCCCTGACTACCAGCAGTTCCAACTTGACTATCTCTTGCCTGCCTATTACATGTTGAGATCAGTGTTGGGTATTCCCTACTTGTCACTTCCTTTAACGCTCCTTTTACAAGTCAGAATATGGAGACTCTCCAACCACACCCCTTGAGCTAGAAGGCAGGAGGGAGAGAATGGCAAGGGGAGAGTGGGGGGCATTAGTAAAAGGGTTTCTCACAGTCAGCTAGGCTGTATCCTCGGTACCCTTCCAGACCAAATTCCTGTAGTACTCGGGCCAGCTCACAGCGGCTGTAGACCTTGGCCTCGCTGGCACCCAGTAGGCAGCTGAGCAGAGAGACGAAGGTGAGCATCATGCTCCCAGGTGGATGAGGCCGCCTTCTGGGAGCCCAGTTCCTGGCTTCCATACTGGCAGCAGAAGCAGAGACCCCGCCACTGTGGCTCAGAGCTAGGCTTGGAGATGGCAGGTAGCTCTCCAGCCCCGGTTAACCAGTCACAGATGCCTATTCCTCAGAAAAAGAAAAAGAAGAGAGACAGAGCCTGAGTACACCCCTGGGAAATGGGGAGAAGGAGTGGGTGGAAGGCAAAGCTCAACAGTGCAAATCGACACCAGCCGTGCAGCCTGAGACCCTGGAAAGAGTTCCGCGCATGCTCAGTCCCCTCTCCCTTCCAGTTCTACAACACACCCTGGCCCAACAGCTGAGGGAAAGGAAGGAAAATGACGAAGAGATGGTGACCTCCTCGCTGCATGACAGGTATTATGCAAGATTCCCTACAGTTTGGACTGAGACTAAATGTTATGTTAATCCATTATCGCATTGGGGTATGGCCATGCCTAGTTATCACTGAATCTCCCTCTCCTGACTTCACTGGAATAAGATCTGCTGCAACCCCCAAGCACGCTCACCTCCCTCTTGGCCTTCTTAAGTGGAGGTTTCTTTCTCCACACATAAAATGACTTCTGACATCTTCCCTTGAGCTGCAAACCTCCTATCCACTGCCTCTTGGACATCTCCACTTGGCTATCCCACAGGCACTTCCAACCAAGTTTGACTAAACAGAACTCATCTTCCTGCTGAAGCTTACGCCTCCTTATGTTTTCCCTTCATTGGTCTAAGACATTCCAGTTGACCCAGTTATCCAACCCAGAAATATGGAAGTCATTCCTGGTACTTCTTCTCCATCACTCCATCCCTCATCCCTCCACAGTTATTTAGTCCTCAAATCCTGCTGATCCTACCTCTCCTCCACAAACACTGCCTTTCTTCTAGTTCACACAACCATCATGGTGTGGTGGTCTTCCTGTGCCTAATTATGATCCCTCTTCCAAACTATTCTATGTCCTTCTGCCAGAATTAATTGTTTAAACAGCCAAAGAAGAAAGCCCAGCCAAGTGGTCCCTTTCAGTAGCTCTTTATCATCACAGCTCCTCAGCGTGGTCAACAAAGTCATCCATGACCCCAACTTGATGACCTCTCCCTCACTTTGTTCCAGCAATGCTACATTGTTCACTCATGATGACCTTGATGGTCTAGAGCACCAACATCTGTCCTTTATGTGGTTAACTCGGACTCAAACTTGAAAGGTCACCTCAGAGTGAATTTCCCAGTGAGACTCTTCTCCCGACCCCCACACTGGCCCCATCATACTTGACTGTAACAGAGGTTAGTCTTTCCCACAGTAAGGTAGACTTCCAAAGGACAAGTCAGCAGAGTTACTAGATGTTTCTTAAGCTAAAGTACACTGAAATCATGGCTAGGAAGTATAAGCCCGACCAAATCTACTTGTGGGAAGTAAAAGGAAGGAAGACAGCACACATCGCTGAGTTCCTAAAATACATCAGACCTAATGCCAGGCTTTCCCCTAATGTTCTCTAATGTAATCAGGATTAAAGCCCCCAATTTATAGATGAGAAGAGCACATTGACTGCCACAGTGGCTGGTTTTGATTTTTGTAGTTGTTGTCAAGTGCTGTCGAGTCGGTTCCGACCCATGGCAACTCTGTATAGGGTTTCTGAGAAGCCGCTGATGGGTTTGAACTGCCGACCTTGTAGTTCGCACTCCAGTGCTGATCCTACAGTGCCACACAAGAGGTCCCAGTGACTCAAATGCCATCTCACCCTGAGCATTTCACAGATGCTCCAGAGGTATAGGGAGTCGGGTGGTGATCCCAACCCAGAGACTCTCTCAGCTTCCCCCCTCCCCTCTCGCTACCCCCTTGCTTTCTCACACCCCAGATCCAGGTTAACAGCTCCTGGAGGAGGGAGAAGGGGACTCACTGACCAGGTGTCCTCCTCACCAGAGCTGAGACAATGGTAACAGAGCAGCAGCAGCGGAAATGGCCCCCAAACTCTGTCAGCACAGGGCACCCCTCCCCCCACGCTTCTGCTGGGACCCTGTGGCCAGGGCTGGGAGAGTGATGGGGGAGGGTAAGCTGGGGTCTTCTGGAACTCCCCAGCTCTGTGAGCTCATCTTCTAGAGTGAGCTCCACCCACTGAGCTAGAACTAGCCCACCTGAGTCTCTCAAGGTCATGGTCTGTGAACTTCTTTGTTGTTTGCTTCCATGAATCAGCTCCTCCTCATGATGACCCCCACCCGTTCAACATAATGAAACCTTGCCCGATCCCATGTCATCATGATTGGTGGTATGTTGGATTTCATTATTGTAGTGCCTTTGAACCTGGACTCCTCTTCCGGCACTATAGCATACAATACCCTATTGTGATCTATAAAGTTCTCATTGGCTCATTTTCAGAAGTACTTTGCCAGACCTTCCTTCCTAATCTGTCTTTATTGGGAATCTCCCCTGAAACTTGCCTAAACCTTGGTATTTTCAATAATCTGATATGCACGTGAAAGTTGGACAGTGAATAAGGAAGACCGTAGAAGAATTGATGCAGTTGAGTTATGGTGTTGGAGGAGAATATTAAAAGTACCATGGACTGTCAGAGGACAAACCTATCTGTGTTGGAAGAAGTACAGCCAGAATGTTCCTTGGGAGCTAGACTTTGTCTCTCATACTCCAGACATATTTTCAGGAAGGACCAATTCCTGGAGAAGGACACCATGCTTGGTAAAGTGGAGGGTCAGAGAAAGAGAGGAAGACCCCCTGGGAGATGTATTGGCACAGTGGCAGCAGCAACAGGCTCAAACATAGCAATAATTGTGCGGTTGGCACAGGACCAGGCAGTGTTTCCTTCTGTTGTGCATAGGGTCACTATGAGTTGGTACCAACGTGATGGCAGCTAACAACACCCACAACATAGTGGCATAGCTTCCAACATCACAACAACACAAACCACAGTACAGTGAATGAATGGACAGACTGTGGTTGAGGGGACACCTTGTTGTTGTGTGTCAGCCAGTAGATTCTAACTCATTGTCATTCTACACATCAGAGTCAAACTGCTCCCCAAGGTCTCAAAACCTGTCATCTTTACAGAAACTGATGACTGCCGCAGATTTCCTCCAGGTAGGTGTGATCTGCCAACTCGCACTCAGCAGCTGAGTAGCTAACCATTGCAATATGACTCTATCCTATATTGGTAAGGGGGAGGGTCAGAGGAAAAGAGGAAGACTCCAATGAGATGGATTGGCCAAGTGGCAGCATCGGTGGACTCAAGTGTGGCAACAGTAGTGAGGTTGGCCCAGGATCGGGCAGTGTTTCATTCTGCTGTGCATAAGGTCACTATGAGTCGGTGCCAACTCGATGGCACCTAACAACAACACAGGGTGGCTATGAGTCAGCGTCCACTCAACAGTGATGGGTTTAATCTTCAGGGGAGCAAACTGCTAGGTCTTTCTCCAGTAGATCTACTGGGGGGTTTGAACCACCAACCTTCCAGTCAGCAGCTGAACACTGAACCATTTGAACTATCAGGGCTCCTTCATAGGATATTAGGGTTTCTGAAACTGTAAATCTTTATGAGGTCAGACAGCCTCATTTTTCTCCCTCACAGTGTGGGGCTCTTAAATTTCAACTGCTGACTTTGCAGTTAACGGTCCAATGCCTGAGCCACAGCACCACCAGGGCTCCGTGACACATTTTTTTGCTGCTATGTGCTGCTAAGTCAACTCCAGTGCATAGCAACCATATGTATAACAGACTAAGACATTGCCCCACTGAATGCCCCATTGTTGTTGTTAAGTGCTGTCAAGGAGATCCCAACCCATAGCAACCCTGTGTAGGGTTTCCAAAGAGCAGCCGGTGAGCTTGATCCACCAACCTTGCAGTTCAAATGGCTTTGCAGTCTGGTGCATTAACCCACAGCACCACACCAGGCCCCATAAATCATAGCAATTACTACTAAGAGCAGAACCCAGCTATACATATGTTTAATTGCATCTGTCCATACTGCATTCACACCCCAGACGAAAGAAATTATAATCTCTGAGGGTTGGTCAGACAGTGTTTCTTAAAAGCTCCCCAAATGACACCAAACTGAAGCCAGGTTTGATGAGGAGCTTAATCCTGATTTAGAAAACCTGAATTCAATTTCTTTCTCTGTCCCTAATTGGCTATTTGGAGGCCTGGTGTGGTTACTGTGGGTTAATACGTTGGACTGCAAAGTCGATTTGAACCTCAAGTTCAGCGGTTCACGCTCACCAGACAGTCCTCAGAAATCTTATATGGAGTCGCTATGGGTCAGAACTGACTCTAAGGCACTTAACAACAACAACA